TGGCGGAATAGATCTGCGCTGCTGCTGCTGCTGCGGCAGAGCAAGTACCGAGACTTGCTACTGCCAATACATCCACAACATGCTGCTGTGAGCATGTAAGAAATATTACTGCTGCAGATATAACATGCATGAAATAACCCCCATATAGCGCACATGAATCACCTCGTAGCAGATCTATACAGGTGGAGCTGGGGAAGGTGGAGGGTTTCTGAAGCAAGCTGCACTGCTACGGCAAGCACTAGTCATATATTTGAATGTTGAGCAGCGACCTCATTGGCTACCGATACAGGAGAGAACTAATCAGCTGTGTCATGTGATAATGATGCCATTAGGTCAGATTGAGTTAGACCTATCGGACTGTGCCATCTAGAGTTTCATGCCAGAACTATGTATATAAACATGAATAAATAAAAAATATAAATAAATATAACTACACACACACACACACACACACACATACATACATGTTAAAGTTATTTTCAGTACTTAAACATCATTAATAACACATCTTACATGGTTGCCAAGTTGATTTCATGGCCTTGTTTTACAGAGCGGCCGTGTTTTCATCCTGTGATTAGAGCCGCCTTTATTGACTTTCACTGGCACGCTTCCAACTAAAAGCTGACAACTTAACTCCGGCCTGAAAATGGAAGCCACGTCTCCTGACCAGCTGCTACTACCCCGACATCAGATCCGCTCTGTGCGGCCCTTTGTGTCTACACCAATTATGAAGATAAATTACTGCTGAGTAATGACACGTAATCACAGCTTTAAAAGAACAACATTCTCCACTTTATTTTTAAAGCCTAATTCTACAAAACAGACCGTGTAAGATATTTATGTCATTAAGACAGCAAATTACCCACAGTAGCTCTGGCCTGGAGGAACTGAGTACTGCTAAAGTACTCTAACGGTTTAATTTGGAGGCATTTTATGTGAATGTTTTTCAATGTGTGATGCAACTGGATGGCAAAGAAGTCCACACACGTCTGTGCAATTAATGAACAATCATTTTGACTCCAAGAGGATATTTTCTAGCCTGTGGTAGGGAATTCTTAATAAATAAAAATGAGGTAAAGGCCTCATATTTCAGGCCACAGCAGGAAACGTGTGCAAACACCTCTGGAGTGTTGCTACCAATGCCATCATTTTTTACACGGCGTTGATCTGCCTCTGGCACTACAGAGCTCTGTGCATTACAAACGCTGCAGGGCTCTACTTTGTGAGGAAATTGCTGTGTGTGAATGTGAAAACGCATTCAGTGATATCTGACACCTGACCAAAACTTGCTAACATAAAATACATAAACAACTTATGTACAATCAAATTATACTGTGACTGGCTGCTTTTCAAAGTCAACAAAATGCCCAAATGCAATGGTTTAAGGATTTTTTATTTTAGTGTCTATATTTTAGCCGGAATTTAATTACACCATATAGACTTTAATAATAATGTGACCGTTTATGTGAACCAAACTTTATAGTAACTTTCAATCATATCATGTTAAAAAAAAAAAAAAAAAGTATTACATGTATAACACTTAGATCAATAGTTAAAACGCATTCAAATAAAAGGATGATTAACAGCTATTCATGATTTCAATATGTTTTGTTACACTGGAAAGAAATGGTTTAGAAACATTTACTCAGAAATTGCTAATAAATTAAAGTAAAATACATTTGAAATAATGAAATATTAAATAAATAATGTCTTGAAGTAGAAAGACTAAAATTGTATTTTCTTGTAAAATGTG